TGTGGATTATGACGGTGCCAGAAAGGTAATTCCCGTAGAGAATCGAACACTTTGCCCACAAAACGGCATCCCACTGATAGCTTCTACATAGCCAACTGCAAGAAAAATGCCACAGGGAAAGCTTTATTATGAGAAAAAGCATGAACGACCATTGCCCTTCTTCTACTGTATTAGCTCGACCCTCTAACTGCTTTACCTAAGACACCGTAGAAAGTGAGCAACCGTACCGTAATGTGGAACATACAGACTCACTTCGCGGCGCAATTATTTGGACGGAATGGGTAGAGCAAACCTTTGAGAAGCTGATAATGCTGTTCGTACGAAAGCGAAGTTCAGTCGTAAACTCCATGTTTGGTTCATCCACACCATTTCTGGACAGTTGACTCCACCACGTCGTCATAGCCTAAATGTTCAAATCACAAATTATTGTGCAGCTCGAACCAGGATTGACCGTGCGTTGAGTTGAGTTTGAAGGCAGTGATCACTATGGGTAGAGGGCGGGACGGTTTTGATGACGTCATTGCACGTCATTGGTGGAACCACGTTAAGGGGCTGCTCCAACCCGGCCCCAACCTGCTGCTACTTCTCGGCTACCAGTGACGTTCGATGGCATCGTAAGAAAAGCAGCACCGCCCTTCAGCTGTGGTGGTCACTGCCTAGAGGACGGCCGTGGCCGTATTTGTGGTTTTCCAAACGAGAATCATTTTTGGGATGGGCATTGTGGATTTGGAAGACACTGGACTAAAATCTTTCAGGCATTGTAACAAGATTTTTCGAAAAATTCCGGTAAATTTGACATTTTTTGCTACCTAAACTTTTTAAATCTTCGCCACGCTCAACGCGATTCTTCGAAGCTGAAAGTGTGTGAGGTCGGACTCGGATGTGGGACCCTCAAGGGGCAGGGTCGAGCTAGAGTTTCGCAATTAGTCGACCTCTACGATTGACGCTGTTTAAAGCCTCTGATCCAAAACAAAGAAGTTTGCTACCTACCGTTTCAGCGACATTCCCCAACGGGAAATTGTCCGCCGCTGCAGTTTGGCGCGCTTCGCATTGGCAGGAGCTTTCACATCGGCATCATATCCTGAACAAATGGAATATTGCACGTTAAAAAAGCCGTTCTAAAGGCCTGCTGAATATTCCTGAACAATTGAAATATCTACTCAAAATAGGCCATGTTTGAAAAGGATTGCTGATAACCCAACTCAACGAACCATCTTTTCCATATTGGTGGCCGGTGGAGCAAGGCCGAGGTTATCATTTTGCTGTAGTCCTTGAGCCAGACTTGATCTGCAAGGACTTAGTACAGTTTTCTCCAAGCAGAATGAAAAGTGTAGTCTCCCTTGCCACTTGAGACTTAGTCCAGCGCGGAATTGTGGTTGGGATATTACACAGTCCTTCACATGTGACTACCATAGCCCAAGAGGAGATGTCCAGCTGACAAAAGGACTAATGATTACATTGATATCAACTTGTGTGCATGCTTTTCGTGTTCCTTTTCAGGACGGAATTATATTCTGGGGGCGGAGTATAGAAATGATGACCATAGAATTTAAAGACAGTCGCTATCGCAAAATACGGGGGCATCCTCCGGGACTAAGCCTAGTAGGGGGCAGGAACTCGGAGGAAAATAGAAATGTCTCACGCATTCTGGAGTCTCTCCTTTCTCATCTAAGGCTCAGCCCTTTTTCACAGAAACATGGTTTACGCGATTTTCGATGCATTGCCACCACACTACCCCCGTACCTTGCGATAGCGCCTAAAGACACATTCTGCTATAGCTGGACACGAGCAAAGGTAAACAATCGGAGGTGAAAACACTTCTGCCAAAAAAAACGAAGGAAGTCAGGAAATGTCAGGAAAAAGGCCCTTCTCCAGCCGTTCTTGGGCGTTTTGAGCATATAATGAAAACACATGCGGCTGAGTCGGGGAACAGACGGCCGTAGGGGAGCGGGACGGGGGGTGGTAAATTAGTGCACCGAAGCGGCAAATCCTACAATATTATCTAATTCACGCTGCTTTCATAGTAGGACTCTCACCACATTCGTCAGAATGATCAAAAAACCCGTCTAAATTACTACTCCTTTTAAGGGCCCCCGTTCCACATTTACACTCCTCCAAAGATTATTAACCTCGCTCTACCTCCATAATGCGACCCCCTTCCGCTTCCCAAAGTCACAGATGCGATCCTCTCGTTCGAGCAGTGCAAACGGACGGTTGACCCTTCCCCGGCTGACGTCAAAAACCCCTTCGCCTCTTACTTTTGACATGAACTTTTCGTTTGGGTACGAATATGTTGTACTTTGAAGGTTTAGATTGCTCAGGTTCTGAAATGTGACATCATTCACGTCATTTCTGCGGTATTTTGGTAGCTCGAGGAACGATACTGGTTAGTGCCCTGAGACTGAACCAACGGAATGGCTGCGTGAGCAGAGCACACGATTGCCCACTTCTCCGAATATAAGGACCGGGATCAAACTGATGTGATAATTCTACTCGAATTTGAAGTAGGGATGCGAAATGGACCACGATGGAGGAACATAGCAAGAGATGTCGTCAGAAATACAGATAAGATGCATTTTTGCCCTACGCGGCAGAGAAATCGAAGAAGCACATAGCGATGTTGGAGAGAATGTGAACAGCGGAGAGCGAAAAGAAGCCCGAGTCGAGAGAGCATGATAGATCAATGTCACAGCATAGGTTAGACATTGAATATTGGATGGACACGGATCCTTCCGGGCGCAGGATGATCCAAGTACTAAGCGCCTAGCATTTTATTGACATGTTCAGAGAAGCAAGAGTGGCGCAATCATTGCAGCTTTTGGCCTAGCACCTCTATCTACGAAAAGACTTTTTCAGTGAGG